CCAGAGATCTTTGGCAACAAGCTTATATCACTTATGAAGATTTTAAGAGTGTCGATCTCTTCCATACTCAATGATCACGTTTTATCTATAACGATTGCATCTGAGTATATCCAGCCTGCCTTACTTCAGAACAAGTTAAATAACGTAATTATTTCAGAATGAGACTCACCAATTTACCCTTCAACACTTCCATCAGGGATCTGCAAGAGATCACTTTAGCTACTAAAGCTAAAGCCATCTATATTCCTTGTTCTAACAATTATAAACCTCGACCCTTCGCAGTCTTTTACTTCAAAATAGAGGCAGACCTTAACAATACTGTCAAACAATCTTTTGTGTTCAATGACAACGAACTCTAATGGTACTCTACTAATGTGAGATGTTATCATAAATATGGTTCTCCAGAATACATTGTCATGAAATGCCTCCAAATTGTTCCATCAGTAAATGACGATCCTGTTGATCAACCTAAAACCCCAATTTATAAGTACACTCGTTTTAAACTAGCAGGATCTAGATTTTTAATCACAAGACACAACAACCGCAAACCCAACCACATACAGTCACCCCTTCCCAAAGAGGAAAATAAACCTGCAACAGATAAAGGCAAAGCCAAAGACAAAGAACCTGCAGGTTCTTCGATTGATGACTCAGTTCATAATCCTAATAATAATAACAATACGACTAATGATAAGCTAGATAGAATCCTCAGCATGCTCGCGAATATGCAAAAGGCTATGTCTGATCTTGAAACTCGCATTGCTAAGCTAGAAAAGGCTTAATTAACTCTCTATACCTCACCTTCTCCTTCACCGTCAAGCGTCCTAAATAAAGGGCCTATTACGCAGCAATCTGCATCTACTTCTACCCCCCAAAAAAGAATTTGAATTGCCAATTCCTCTTCAGATGAAGACCTTAATAAGTCACCGGTTCCCATTGACTTTAAAATACAAGCAATTATTAACGAATAAGCCTCTATTATCGCTGAACAACAGAAGCAGTTATAGCTCATTAATGCCTAAATGTTCGAAATCATGGCTCAGATACAAAAACCATCTGGTTCCTCCTCACAATAATTTCACCTATTACCTAACCCACAACCATAATTGATAATATACAAATATTGATAAAAATAATAACTACAATAATAAATATATAGAACATTTCACTAACAATCAAACTAATTCAAAAGGCACACCTACTATATCTTTCACTACCCATAATGTTAATTCACTTTAATATTCAATCAAAAACTAATTTATTAATGATATATTCATAGATCTTAATACAGATTTCGTAGGTCTTACTGAAACACGACACAAGTCTGACTAATCCTTTTGTTATATACACGACCCTGATTATACTTCTTTCTGGAGCACCTGCCTTAACTCACATGCTGAAGTTGACATCCTCATTAAAAAATTCTAGGCTATTTACATCTAAAAAGCCTATCTAGATAATGATCGATTTATCTACATAGACTTGTATTTATCTAGACACACCAAACTTTGCATCTTCTGTGTCTATTTACATGCTTTAACTGAATCTGATATCAAGACAGAATGGCTCAACTTACACAAATTAATTATCAAACATGTTCATGACAGCATCAAAGCAGATTTCAGAACTATCATCCTAGGGGACTTCAACGTGAATCTCGATACTTATTGATCACAAGTTAATAATGGTAAAGCCCTATACTGGCAAATAGACTTTTACAAAAGGCTCTTCACATTGAACTTCTTAGACCTTTATGATATCTGTCATAATATACCCCAACCTACATACCACTTAGGCTCACGTAGTTCAAGAATTGACACCATTTTTGTCTCACCTAACTTCACTTCAGAATTTTTTTATTCATACTTAGATCAGCCAGTCCTCTACTCATCTGACCATAAGATCGTTTTTGCGATATTTGCTGATTGTCATATGCAATCTAATGCTTGAGATCGTACCTTACAAAATAAACGATAAGTTCTCAATTTGAGAGCCATAAACCTGTCTAAATAAAATGAATTCAGTGCACACTGATTTTCATTATAGATGTCACAACCTGGATCGCCTCTCGAACCTCTCCACTAACAGATGCAACATGAATACTCTATGGACAAATATTAAAGCCGCTGTCCTAACTGTTAACAGATGTGTCATACCTTAAGTTTGGATTTCCTCACAACTAAAAGATAAATGACTTTTTGATCAGCCCCCTCTTTCTTTGCAGTCAGAAAAGTTGGCTCATTTCTGCTCCGTTTTAAAAACTCACTTTTACATACAAACCGTTGACCCGAACCCCTCAAATGGTCCCATATCAAGGATAATATGGAAAAGTTGCTCGCAGAATTGAAACTACCTACGTGTTCCTTTCCTTTCTCTCTGCGAACTGATAATATCAATAATGTCAAATTAAAAATTAAAGATCCCCACAAATCTCTAACAGCTTTAGCTAAAATTAAAATACAAAAAATAAAAGAATCGGCTATCAAGTTCCTTATAGACAAGCGATGTGACAACTTGCAAGATAACCCCTCCAAAATGATTGCCTCTATCTTGAATCAGAAGAAACAATCTATAGTGCTCGATTATCTACTTATCACAGACAAGGACTCAGATGATAAACATTTCACCATTGAACCAGAAGAAATCAAGAGAGCCACAATTGATCATTTCCAAAACTTCGCTATCTCCTCAACTCTTGTGTATCCTATGCCTCCTAAATGGTCTGAGCAATATCAATCTAAGGACTATGTCAATGATCAACACTATTCCAATCTCATACAACCTTTTACATATGATGAATGAATTGCTGTCCTTAGAATACTTTCTAATAATAAAGCAGCTGGTCCCTCTAGCATCACCAATGAAATGATTGCTCACCTTAGAGATAAACTTCAATAACTTCTTTAGAAACTTATCTGCATGTGCTTTACAATAGGTAACATTCCTAACGAATGGAAAATCACCCACATATATCCCATTCTTAAACCTATAGAATGGAAATATGACATAACCAAAACCAGACTTATTACACTACTCGAAACTGTGCATAAAGGTCTAGTTAAGATCATCACCAATAGACTCTCCTGAATATTAGCTAACTATAACATTTTCAAAGGAGGAAACTTCACTGGATTGCCAGGAGATTTAATGGAACTACCCATAAAAATTATCAATATACTATTAGAGGATGCTATCAAAAATAATAAAGAAATTTGGATTCTCCTGCAAGACCTTTCTAAGACTTACAATTGTGTAGATTTGTCTTATCTTCGTTTCACCTTAAACAGAATCAAAGTCCCTAAGTTAGCTACTGAACTTATCATAAACCTCTTTACTTCGAGAAAAAACGCTATATTTACTGCACAGGAAACTACTGACTTATACGACGTCAAGATAGATATCGACTAAGAAGAAGTTATTTTCCCTTTAGTGTGATGTATCTATCTAAACCCCTTACTCTGTGAAGTAGGCTCCCTAAATAAAGGATATACAATTGATCATACTTGGATTTCTGATATTACCTCCATAAATACTAGTACTATATCAGCCCCATTTTGTCTCTTACATTCATGGACGATATAAACTGAATGGCTAGTTTCAAACAAGATTTAAAAGAAATTTTACACAGTGCAGATGAATTTTATAGTCTTATCAGATCTGCGCTCAACAAAAACAAATTGAAACTGTTGACAATCCACTAAGTCGATGTCCTTTCTGTTCCTATCAAATTTGGCTCAACTACTATTGATATCACCCTTGAAGAAGGGTCAGTAAGGTTCTTAGGTATATGGATTAACAGTTAGAGAGCTCAATCATTCGTCAAAAGTAGCTCGTATTCAATGTGAACCATTTCGTCAACTCTATGAAATATAAACCATTAACGGATAAACAACTATCGTATATTATTAATATAGTTTTGTGTCTCCTGCTAGAATATCATATGCAGCTGACACCCCTTTCAAAAAATGAATGTCATAAAATTTTCGATCCCATACGTTCACTTTTAAATATAAAAATAAATTCGCTCTTACCCTCCCTAATACCTTTTTAAACTCCAAACAATTCTATAACTTAAGCGACCTCTGGTCACTGCAAATCCAATTCCTTTTAACTGCTCTTATTTACTAATTTAATAACTCATCCCTTTATAAGAACATCTCTTTAATTCGACTTTACCAATTATAGTCGAGCAATGTTCTTGTTACATTCCCCCTAAATTATTGGCCACATTCTTTCAATAAAAGTTCACATAAAAACTTAATTGGTGCCTCCATCTCCCTTATTAATTCTTCATCTTCAAAACTTTTTCTTAATGTTTTCCCTCTTCTCATGAATAAAATTACTGGAGGCACCTAACTCATCACAAAAATCCTTTCTAGTAGTTTACTGAAACGATATAACAAGATTCTCACTAACCATAACTTATATTTTTTAGATCAACTAATATCCTTCTCAGATCATTATTTAATTACTACATCTGATTTTCTTCTTAGGGATTTTAACCATCAGTCAAAAAGATTTGGTTCATCTGATTTTTTTTATAGATTAGACAACATTTTTTTAGAAAGTCACGTACATAGATTGATCAAACCAATATTCAGACTAGCTTTCTCTTACCATATTACAAAACCATTTCTCAAGTACCCACCTTAAATAGCTAAACGAAAGAAATTATATCAACCTGAAACATAACGTTCAATGGTTCAACTTTCAGAAAAATTATAGCTGATGTCTCAAATAGTAGTTATTTCATCTGCTACTATTTTACCTACAGCATCAACCATAATAATGTTTGTCAGCTTGTTAAATGCTCTGGTTGTCCTTTCAGCAGACAGACTGTTTCATCTAGGCGTTGCATCATCAATATCCCTAATACCCTGACCTACTTAATTCAGACCATTCATAAATTTTTGTTTGATTATAAAGCATTTTAAAATGCTAAAGAAAGAGCTAGTTTAGATGAATGTAATGAAGTTAATATCGATATAACATGGGAGGACATGGACTCAATTGAAAAAGATTCTATTGAAAAAAGTTCAACAATTGGTTCTGATGAAAACTATCTAATAAGTGACATTGAGTGTACAAATCTTGTTCCATGTATATTGATAGATATTTTTGATAGACAAATAAAACGTTGTCCAAATTATACAAAGCCAGGACATACTCTTTGTCCTCTTTGACAATTAGTAGAAACGTAGGAAGTTGATGGAACTGTGATTAGTCAAACCAATCCTGAAACTATGTTACACACTTTAGGTGTCTGTATGTCACATTTTACATTTGATCAAAATCGATTACATAAAAAAAATCAAAAACAAATACGATCAGTAGAAGAAATTTATATTTATCGATGTTGATATCTCTTTTGCCACAAAGATAAATATTTTTTTAGTCACGGTGAGAGTTATATAGAGCATTCTGTGAATATTATAGATCGAAATATACAAGTACCTTATGTAGGACTCCAAGTGTGTTCAGCTTTTAATGATGACAATAGAATTGCTAAAAAAAATAACAATAATACAAACCAAGCAGCACGTTATATATGTTCAGTATGTTTTCAAACAGAAGGTGGTCATTTTTTGAGCGAAAAGGAAGTGGTGCAAAGGTTTTTTCCTGTCAGCAAGAACATAATCATGATACTATTGATGCTCTTAAATTATTAGGACGATGAATTTCAAATGTAGCTGAATCAGATGACAATAAAATGAAAAACATTTTATTAACAGAAATAAGTGCAGTAATTAGTACAGTTATTAAAAAAGTAAAGCAAAAAGATGATAGTGCTAAAAAAGTGACTCCAAGTTTATTGTCAATTAAAATTACATTACGTTTAGCAAAAATAAATTTAAAACTATTTAATGATGAATATTCAATTATTAATTTATTGAAAGAGCAACCAAAAAAAATTGGAGAAACTTTTGGAATATGTACATGGAAATCACGTTCAGAAGTTCGTAAAAAAAAAAGGAACTTGAAGTACCACAATCACTTGAGAAATATCAAAGTGGTTTTTTAGTAATTTTAAAAGAATTTTTTGATAGATTTATAACCTGTTTACAAAAAAAAAAATATGATATTGTAGAAAAAAAATGAAAGCAAAAAGGACAACAACCAAAAAAATTTGATAAAACTCGTTCAACAAAAATATCAGTTTTTATTATTTCAATAATTTTATCAATCGCATTTCTAGGAGTTGATATATAGCTTACTCATATTATGAGTTCTTTATGTTGAAAACCAAATCTGTTAAGTTCTCTTTACACAATTTTATGTACAGCAAGTGTAGTTTCTCATACTCAACATCATGAAAGAAGATTAGAAAAAATAAGAATGGGAAAAATTAAACCTGAAGACAGATTGCAACAAGATAAAAATATATGGAATGTTTGTGTTATTGACAATATAGACTTTAAAGAACGATTATTTGCCTATAGTAATATATATGATGTGACTCAAGCAACAGTACATGTAACATTACGAATGGTTTTTCAATTTAAATTACCAGTTCCTATTCAATCAATTATAACAGAGGCCAGTTATATTGAAAAAAAACATTTAAAGTTGGTTCCTCACAATTTGTAGAAAATAAAATTCAAAACTTTGAAAATAAAATTGGCAATTTATTAAAAATTTATGAAATGGACTTCAATGTGAATACCAGTTTATCAGGAATTAGTTAAAGATGTTGAATTAGGATGTAAAATATTACTACCCAATGTAATTATTTTGGAATCTGGTGAAAATCCATGTAATAATGAGGCTGTACATGATGTGTGTGACATGTATTTTAAAGATGTTTTTCCAAAAAATGGTGACTATAAAAATATCGATGTGACTTGTGACAAAGCGATCTTTCATCGATTAATTTCTTATCAAGAGCAAAGACCTGAATTGAGACTTTTACTTGGTGCATGGCACACAAGTAAAGAAATGTGTACTACCTTGATCACTATTTTTTCAGGATATGAAATTTTTAATTTAGCGGCTTGTATTGGTGTTTGCTATTTAAACAAATTAAAGAAGGTGGTAGATTATCAAGCGACATGCCATGTCTTAGAATTAATATGATGCATAACATCTAAAGGCATCCAAATTTTAGCTTAGATTCTAAATTTATCTAGTTTTTCAATTTATATGTTATTAAAAA